TTTAGCCTCAAGGCACATCACAATTTCTAAAAATCGCATATATAGAACAACTACCTAAAGTGCTTCAGATTAAGCTAACTTCCCTCTTTTAAAAAAGATGAAATCTTTTCCAATGACTTAATCTTAGCTTGACTGAATAAAGACTGAACTACCAAATTGCTTTCAGCCTTGTTGACACACAACGACAAGCCAGTATAAGAACATTGAAATACTCCCCCGGGCACACAGAATATTAAGAAGGAAGAACGTAAGGATAAAAGGAAAATGAGCACCACCTGTGCAACCACATATGCTACCCCACAAGTACTAATTCCATCGTATAACCAATTAATCTTAATGCCAGACACCGTCTCATAGCAAAGCAACATAGACTCAAGAACCTATGTTGAACCTCCTGCCTCACAGGCCCCACCACATAAAGCAAAGGCACAACTGCAGGATATCACAAATTTAGTTGCACCTAAAGTTAAGTAAGATTTCGGACATGTCATCCATCTACTAAAGTGATACTCCGTTAAAGCATCCAATTTAGGAATTCCAACTACATCAAAAGAGTTAACCATGTTAAGTTTGGAAGATTAACATAATATTAGAGACAATATTTAGGGAGAAATAGAGAGAGGTTAAAAACTTAACCTAGCTCTCATACATCACTTATATTTATAGTTAACCTACAATAATAAGAATTACACATACACCCTCTTTCCATTAACAATTTACACATACTACCCTACTATTCTTAACACTCCCCCTCAAGCTGGACTATATATATCATATAATCCAAGCTTGGAACAAATAGTTGTAAGCCATGTACAACTCAATGCTTTGGTAAACATATCTGCAAGCTGATCTTCAGATTTCACAAATGGAGTTGTAATCTCCCCAGCTACTACCTTATCCCGAATAAAGTGACAATCAACCTCAATATGCTTGGTTCTTTCGTGAAACACAGGATTGACAGCAATATGGATAGTTATCTGGTTGTCACAGAACAACTATAAAGGAAGTTGAACTGGAAACCCAATTTCTTGGAGGAAGTGTAATAACCAAGTCAACTCACTCGTCGTATGTGTCATTGCCCTATACTCAGCCTCAGTACTAGATCTTGCTACCACGGGTTGTTTTTACTTTTCCATGAGACAATATTACCTTCTAAGAAAGTACAATAATCAGTAGTTGATCTCCGATCAGAAGAAGAGTCAGCCCAATCAGCATCAGAGAAACCTTCCACTCTAAGATGTCCATTAGCTCGATATAACAGTCCAAGTCAAAGAGCTCGTTTGAGATATCGCAAAATACGAGTAACTGCCTCCCAATGTGGTACTCTAGGACATCTCATGAACTGACTGCATAGGAAATATCCGGTCGAGTAATAATGAGATAATTAAGCTTCCCAACCTATTTACGATACCGATCCAGATTCTCAAACAATGCACCATCATCCATCAATAATTTCTGATTCGGATCCGTAGGAACATCAATCGGTCTACCACCCAGCAAACCTGCTTCTTCAAGCATGTCAAGTACATATTTCCTCTGGAATAAATAAATACCCTGTTTAGATCGAGTCACCTCAACACCCAAGAAATACATGAGTTTTTCCAAATCCTTAGTATGAAATCGATCCTGTAAGAATATTTTTAATTTGGCAATCCCCTCAGAATCATTTCTAGTAATCACAACATCATCTACATAGACCACCAATAGAACATATCCAGCATCTGTCTGACATCGAAGCAGACCAAACTCTAAAACTGCATCTAAAAACTTACCAAACCATGCCTTCGGTGACTGCTTCAAACTATACAAAGATTTCTTTAACCGACATACACTCTTACCATACTCCCCCTTAGCAGTAAACTCAGGTGACTGCTTCATGTATACCTCTTCAACCAAGTCACCATGTAGGAAGGCATTTTTGACGTCTAACTGAAACAAGGGTCAATCAAGATAAGCAGCTAAAGAAATCAAAATACGAACGGAAAAAATTTTGACAACAGGAGAAAAAGTCTCCTCATAATCAACACCATAAGTCTGAGTAAAGCCCTTTACAACAAATCGGGCTTTGAGACGCTCCACAGAACCATCTGGATGAAATTTAACAGTACACACCCAACGACAGCCAACAGTTCGTTTACTCGGGGATAAAGGAACGAAATCCCAAGTCCCATTATGATGTAAAGCGTCCATCTCCTCCTCCATAACTTTCCTCCAACCCGGATCAGATGATGCATCCTGTAAATGCTTAGGAATAGATATAGCAGATAATTGAGAAATAAAACAAGAGAAGACAGAAGACAAAGCATCATATGAAACAAAATGAGAAATGAAATGATTAGTAACACACGAACGAGTACCTTTGCGAAGAGCAATAGGTAAAGAATCTAAATTACTTGATGTACCTGGATCAGAAGGCGACAAAGACGACGGTACGTGCACCTCAGTCGATGGGCGAGGACGACGAGAGTAGACACAGAGAGGTAAAGGAGATGGTAACACAGTGGGCAGCGGAATATCTGAAGATGAGAAAAGAGATGGTGGTACAGGAGACGATCCAAGGCTAAGAAGGTGCTGAAAAATAGAAAACAGATTCTTCAAATGTGACATCGGCAGTAGTAAAGTATCAGTGCAGAGAAGGACTGTAGCAACGATACCCCTTCTGCGTGCGGGAGTAACTAAGGAATACACATTTGGTAGCTCGAGGGTCAAGTTTGTTAAACCCAGGACCTAAATTGTGAACATAACAGACACAACCAAAAACCTTAGGAGTCAAGAAAAATAAGGGCTTACCAAGAAAAATAACAAAATATGGACTTTGCTCATTTAACACAGAAGATAGCATACAATTAATAAGATGACAAGCAGTAAGAACAGCATCACTCCAATAATATCGGGGAATATTCATTTAACATAACAGGGCACGGGTGACTTCCAACAAATGACGGTTCTTGCGTTCAGCAACATCATTTTGTGGAGAGGTGTAAGCACAAGAGGTCTGATGAATAATATCAATTTTACTAAGATAAGCTCAAAAAATTATTAGATTCATATTCTCGAGCATTATCGGAACGTAAAGTACGTATACGACAACCAAACTGAGTTTTTATTTCCTTACGAAAGGTCTGAAATATAGAAAATAATTCAGACCGAGCTTTCATAAAAAACAACCAAGTCACACGAGAATAGTTATCCACAAATGTCACAAAATAAGGATATTTATTAGATAAAATATTCTTTATTGGACCCCACACATCAGAATGAACTAATTCAAATGAATTAGACACACAATTATTGACTCTAGATTGAAATGACACATGGTGATGCTTACTAAGTTGACAAGCTTCACAAGACAAAGACGACACATAACTAAGATTGGGAACTTGGCGCTTTAGATTCTGGAGAGAAGGATGTCCAAGACGACAATGCCATTGAAAATGAGACAACGAGATCTGTAGAGCCCGGGTAGGTGAATCAAAGTCAAGGAAATATAGGCCACCAGCTTCATTCCCTATACTAATCTTCCTCTTCGTCTTGAGATCCTGAAAGACACAATAGGAGGGATAAAAGGTTACAGAACAATTGAGAGAATGGGTAATCTTGCTAATGGAAAGTAAACTAAAAGGAAACTAAGGAATAAATAACACGGAAGATAGGGGCATATCAGGACTCAAGTGAGTAGTCCCCAAACCTGAAACTTTAGAACAAGTACCATTAGCAAGAGTAACACTGCGTGTGGAAGTAATAGACTGATAAGTAGAAAAAACATCAGACGCACCAGTCATATGGTCAGAGGCGCCAGAGTCTATGATCCAAGGACTGCGAGTAGAGGACAACAAATAAGTAGAAACAGTACCTGACTGAGCAAAAGTAACAGTAGAGGGAGATGGAACAGTCTGTTGCTGGGACAGGAACTGAGCATACTCTTCTCCTGTAATAGTAACCGACCCAGTGTCTGGTGGAGCTGACCGAGGTATAGAAGCCGCAACAGAGGTGTCATCTTGATAAGAAACTTGATTCGCAGTACCAGAAGGTTTTCCATGTAAATCCCAACAGACATCAATAGTATGCCCTCCACGACCACAGTGAGTATAGGAACATGGTCCACTACGGCCCCCACGACCATCCGTACGACCTCCTCGACCACCTCGATGACCATCACTGTGGCTACTAGGAACCACAAGAGCTGAGCGATTAGTGGAGACACCATGATCAATGCCTGAAGGAAAAGACAATGTAGTACGTTGTAAACGAGAGAAAACCTCGAGTAGTGATGGAAGACTAGAACCACCCAAAATCTGAGAACAAATAGCCTCATATTCAGGTTTCAATTCTACCAAAAACCTAACAACATTCAGGTCCTCATGTTGCTTCTGTCAAACTGCTACATCAGTAGTAAAAGGATGATAAGTCTTCATCTCCTCACAGACTCCCCGAACATAAGAGTAATAATCTGCAAGACTCAGAGTACCCTGCTCCAACCGGAAGTACTCCTTGCACACCTCATACGCACGGGTAAAATTACCTGAACCAGAATACATAATAGCCAAGTGATCTCATACCTCTTTGGTAGTATCAAGATAAAGCAGAAAAGAGCTAATACTAGGCTCAATGTTATTCAACAATAAAGAGATAATCTGAGCATCCTCTTGTTCCCACTGATCATACCCAAGAGTGTCTTCCTTAAGTTTAGGATTCACCAAATATTTCTTAAATCCTTTACCTCGAAGAAGGACTTGAACAGATCGGGACCATAAAGTGTAATTAGTCCCATTGAGTTTGACAGAGGTCATGGGACCATTGATAAGAGTAAAAGGAGGCAAAGATGGAGTAAGGGACGTGGTATTTTGCTTGGGTTCCATAATAGTGCAGCAAATAGCAAATAAGAAGTGTTACAATAAGAATCCAGGTCAATTGGACCTGCTGGAAGACTGAACCAGGCTGGAAATAAGGGCTGGATCACTGAACTAGACTAGTTGGACTTGCTGGAGGGCTAAACCAAGCTAGAAATAGGGGCTGGACCACTGAACCGGGTTGGTTGAGCCCTCTGGACTGCTGAACCGGACCAGTTTTACCTGCTGGATCACAGAACCGGGCCAGTTTAACTTCTTGAACCGTTGAACCTTGCCGGTTTAACCTCCTGAACCGTTGAACCGGGCCGGTTTAACCTCCTGAACCGCTGAACTAGACCGAACCGGTCTTAAGTTGGACCGAGTCTGGGTTGGACCGTGGGTTGAACTGACTTAAAATAATTTAAGTTGATGGACTTGACCTGATCCAACCCAACCCGTTGGACCTCTTCTCCTTCGTTGAGGTTAGGGTTCCTAGAGAAAATCCTCTGGTCTTCAACGGCGCCACACACCACGACGAGAACTGTAGCACACCACCACAGTTGCACCACCACCACAAAGATTCTTCGACTACGCCTCTTCACCACGACAAACAACAGACCACAACCGAATTTCAGCAAACATAGAGACACCACAACAGACCACAATCGAACTTCGGCGAACACAGAGGCACCACACAAACCACAATCGAACTTCAGCGAACACAGAGGCACCACACAGACCACATCATAACAGACCACCGACAACACATTGCCACCACGAACAACCGAACTTCGCCAAACACAGTACCACCACAACAGACCACCACCAACAACTCCACCACAACAGTATTCCAACAAACACAATACCACCACAAACAAAAAATTAATTTATTCAGAATATATATTTATGATCGTAAACCTTGCTCTGATACCATGTTAAGTTTGGAAGATTAACATAATATTAGAGACAATATTTAGGGAGAAACAGAGAGAGGTTAAAAATTTAACCTAACTCTTATACATCATTTGTATTTATAGTTAACCTACAATAATAAGAATTATACATACACCCTCTTTCTATTAACAATTTACATATACTACCCTACTATTCTTAACAAATCACATTACGATTTTTTGCAATTCCCAAAACTAAACACTAGTTGCTCACACTAAAAGAATTTACCTAAATGCAATTGAGCCTTAAACTACAAATGACAGTGGAATACATGAATCTTTTTGCAGTTTCTCTATTTTTTTTTTTTTTTGGCAGTTTATCTTCACTAGGGTTTTGTCAATAATGAATGTGTCAGTCATAAGAGTGTGGACTAATGAGATGGTCAACAACAACCAATAAAAAATAAGGCCTGTTAACCATTTTGCTAGACCAGATGTCCTTTGCCTACCCCACAAGCGGGATGCCTCTAGGCTAGAAAGAGAAAGTTGGACCTTTTCTGAAGAGAAAATTCTCAGGTGAACGGGAACTTTACTTGTGTCCATCATAAGTCAGATCACAAGATCCAAAAAGTCACAAAATAGTTAACATGAACTACAATTATAGGTTCATAATATAACTGTTAAACAACAGAAGAAACACACACCAGATTGAGCAGCATCTACAAGCTCTTCCAGCTCAAAAATTCGATTGATGCCACCAGAGAGTTCACTGAATTTTCTATGCAGCTCGAGAATGTCACCAAAAGCCAAAAAGCTTTGAGATACTACAGACGCTAAGAACCGCAGTGCATGTGCCAGCTCACCTGAAAAAGTGTAAGTACAAAACAACATTTTATTTTGGTAAAAAATGAATGAATACTGATGCAAGTACGAAAAATTATCTAGTTGAACATCACCTTGAGTGGAAGTCAAGGCTCGGTCGCCCTTGTGTTCCATAGCATATAACAAGCTCAATCCCCAAGTAACATTGTGGGGGAGTTGCTTTGTGATAAATTCATCCAGTATACCAAATAGCCATTTCTTCTTCAGAAGTAACATTGAGTGATCAAGAAGTTCCTTAAATCTTGATTCCACCATCTGCCAAGTACACGGAGCATCACCTAGGGATTAGAGACCGATGTAACAACCTGGCAAAATGAATAAATTGTACAGATGGATATAAAACAAGAAGGATACTACAGAACTTCAATTTGTTGTGATCTATTCCAAAATCACGCTTTCTAAATTTCATAGCTCATGTATTTGCTTGACATGAGATAATTATTTGGCCCAATCAAGAATCACTGGGGCCAACAGCAAGGCTTTAGGGTCAGATTCATGAAATAGGGAAGAGCAATATCTCAAAGCTAGCTCGCTACACTTTCTGGAAAAAAAACATTTCATAGCTAGGAACTTGTGACGACTTCCTCTAGGTTCACTTATGTGGTAACAATATATTTGTACTTTTGGATGATATTTAATGCAGCCTTACATCACCAAAAGTGTCGTCTGGCTTGAAAAGTCTTCCAAGTATGATTAAATTAAGGAAGCTGTTTTTTCGTTTCTTTTTAAAACTTCCGCAGGCAATCGAGATGGCTTACCCAGGCAGTCTGATTGGCAGAGATCATAACAATGATATCAGAAGAGTTTTTGGAGGAATTTACTCAGTAAGAGAGAGAAAGGGGGGGTCATAGCAACGATAACCCGTGTGATTCTCAGCTTCAAAAAGCCAACTCTCTAAAAGAAAAAAGCCATTTCCGAGGCACGCTCATGTCACACTCTACCCTTGAATACAATGAGAAGAAAAGCACTGTAATTTCTTATTTCATACACCCCTACTGGTCCTACTCCCTCAGATGCACCAACATAAGGCCAAGAGGAGCCATATTCTAGAGCATTCTCATCCTTCTCCCTGGGCAGCCTCCAAAGCAGCATCGAACTGCCTTCCTCACAACAGTGAAAACACTAACAGGCCTCCACATAGTGGCAAAAAATGTATTTTGAAAGAGTGACTACTTTGCAACTCTTGTCAGAAAGGAACTTCCCTCTCCTATAGCATCAATTTAAAGAAGCTGTCCAAGCAACCAATGCAACATTAAGAGACACATTACAATGGGGATCACACAAAAATTGAATAAGAGCCCCAAAAAATTAAGGGAGATGGATTCAATAATAGCCTCAAAATGAGAATTAAGATACTAAAGCAAGACTTAATTTAGGATTATTTTTATCTCCGTGATTTTTGGATTTACAAATTGTTTTATTTTGCTCCAATTATTTGGAAGTGCCTATTACATAGGTTTTTATTGTAACTGGGGACTAAATTTTGCTATAGGAAAATACAGAAAGATATGGAATTCCCCCTTGGATTGATCTGTCTCTTTCTAGCTGCTAGATTCTCTCTCTCTCTCTCTCTCTCTATTTCTTCTTTTTTATTTTTCCTCTCTGCAACTATCTTTAGACACTTTAGGCTTCCAAATACCTTTCCAATGAAACAAGATCAACTGCACAAATCTTTGTTATATACATATTTATTATACACGCTTTCTAGCAACATAACTTCAGATGCGTTGGTTTTATCAGTGCAAGGTTAGCTGTGGTTAATCGTCACTAAGTGAAGACAGTTGTTCTCATCCAGGAAAAAAAATCAGCATGAACGACTCCAGGAGGAGATTACAACAGAAAATTTTGGGATTAATTTGAACCCGTTTGATACAGTTTCTGTCTTCCCCTGATTCTAAACTAAAGGGGAAGGATTTTTAGAGAATTGACCCCCAAGGTTTTTTCGACGCAAATTTCTGCATGAAACCGAACCATAGGGTGCTGAGTTTAATTAAGGAAGAGCGCTCAAATGTTCCGTATCCAGATTTTGGGTGGGTGATGATCCAAGGCAACTATTGAATTTATGAGCTTTCTGTACTTTTGATTTCAATAAATTGCTGCATGTTGTTTAATTTTGGTGTTTGTAAGTCAATTTAGATCAGTTTGGGAGTGTCTTACCATGTCTGAAACAAAAGAGGTCACCCCTCACAAACAAGGGGTAGTGGTCAGATTACGACCCCAAAAGAAAACAAAAAAATAAAATTGGATGAGCATAGCAATCTTGCTTGGTCTCGGTCTGCGGTTGCTTTTCATTAAGAATGGAGGAAAGATGGGCTATCTAGATGGTAAGATCAAAGAACCACCACAGGATGATCCCTTGTTAGACAAGTGGGAACCTTAAAAATTCAAAAACTATGTCTTGGTTGTTACATTCGATAAGACAAGAAATTAGCAATGGCTAGGTATTTTACGGATTTTAGAAGGAATTTGCGATGTAATCACAAACCAACTCAAAATGGGAAACATAGCTCAAATTTATTAATTAAGACATCCTATTCACAATGATGCTACCCAAGGTGATATGTTTCTTATTGCTTTCACATGCTTCAGAATCTCTAACCTACAAGTCAGGGGGCGTATTGAAGAATATATACAAGCTTCCAATGAAAAGATTTAACAGATAAGGAACCATTGCAAGGCCGTCCATCTTTAAGCAAGAACCTGACCTCTAGAAAGAACAACACTTGGAATATATCAAAGAGACCCTCAACCTACTCCAACTGCCAGTCATGCAATCAAGTCATGCGCTGCCTAAAACAGACAGGAATCCACAATTCCAAATCACTTAACACCATAATTCACTCAATCAATTTGCCACAAAGGCATCTTTATACGTAAAATGATGAAAAGGCTGGGATAACACTTCTGTGAGGTGCATTCCCACAACACATGCCATGAAAAAAGAGAATCCTCTGCCAATCTCCCAACAGAATCCAATATCTTACCTGAAATCCTTTCAACAATTCTAGTTCCAAAATCCAACCCAAACTTGGTGGTGGAGTGATGAGATCCAAATTGCGGCAAAAGCACAAAGAGAGTGCTATAAAACATGGCAAAAAACTAAAAACGAAGAAACCTTTAAAAGTTACAAGTTTGTAAATAAAGAAGTAAAAAAATAGGGTAAGAGATTCTAAGTCCAAAGCATATGATGATCTTTACTCTAAACTAAACACAAAGGAGGGTGAGAAAAGTACATTTAAACTTGTTAAATTAAGAAAATGAAAAACTAGAGATGCTAATAATATTAAATGTATAAAGAGTGAAGAGTGAAGAGACTAGGGTTTTCGTACAAAACGAGGTTACTAAAGAAATGTGAAAGAATTACTTTGAAAAGTTACTAAATGAAAAATCATCCAAGTAGCTTAGACATTGAGGACAACATAAATCATAGGGAGATTAGACAAAATACATTTTTTATGAAGGATTAGGATGTCGGAGGTAAATAATGCATTAAAAAAAATGAAGACGGGAAAATTTAAGAACCTGATGGTATACCTATTTGAGGTTTGGGAGTGTCTAAGAGATATTGGGATATCCTAGTTAATCAAATTATTTGATAAAATTATAATGACCAAGAAAACACCCAATCAGTGGAGGAAGAGTATTCTACTACTTATATATAAGAATAAGAGAGACATACAAAGTTGCATAAACTATCGAGATATTAAACTAATGTGTTGAAACTTTGGGAGAAAGTGATCGAGTTCAGATTCAAAACAACGGTTTCTGAGAATCAATTTAAATTTATGCCTAAGAGGTTAACAATAGAAGCTATATATCTACTTCAGAGACTAATTGAGAGGTATAAAGAGAAAACTAAGGAGCTTCATATGGTTTTTATAGACTTCAGCAAGCATATGATAGAGTTCCCAGAGATAAATGATAGAGGGTTGTAGAGAAGAAAAATGTTAGGGTATTGATGTGATTAAGTATACGTATGAAGATGTAGTGACTTTAGTGAGCATAGCGATGAGACTAATGAATTTCCAATTACTGTAGGTTTATATCAGGATTTTGCTTTGAGTCCATATTTTTTTCGGTTGATTATAGATGAACTACCAGGCACATTCTGGATGAGCTCTCATAGTGTATGTTATTTGCAGATAAAGAAAGAGTTAATAATAAATTAGAAATATGAAGAGAAACTCCAAAATCAAAAGGATTTAGTATAAGTAAGACTAAAACTAAATATATGGAATGTAAATTTAGAAAAAAAAAAAANGCTGGGATAACACTTCTGTGAGGTGCATTCCCACAACACATGCCATGAAAAAAGAGAATCCTCTGCCAATCTCCCAACAGAATCCAATATCTTACCTGAAATCCTTTCAACAATTCTAGTTCCAAAATCCAACCCAAACTTGGTGGTGGAGTGATGAGATCCAAATTGCGGCAAAAGCACAAAGAGAGTGCTATAAAACATGGCAAAAAACTAAAAACGAAGAAACCTTTAAAAGTTACAAGTTTGTAAATAAAGAAGTAAAAAAATAGGGTAAGAGATTCTAAGTCCAAAGCATATGATGATCTTTACTCTAAACTAAACACAAAGGAGGGTGAGAAAAGTACATTTAAACTTGTTAAATTAAGAAAATGAAAAACTAGAGATGCTAATAATATTAAATGTATAAAGAGTGAAGAGTGAAGAGACTAGGGTTTTCGTACAAAACGAGGTTACTAAAGAAATGTGAAAGAATTACTTTGAAAAGTTACTAAATGAAAAATCATCCAAGTAGCTTAGACATTGAGGACAACATAAATCATAGGGAGATTAGACAAAATACATTTTTTATGAAGGATTAGGATGTCGGAGGTAAATAATGCATTAAAAAAAATGAAGACGGGAAAATTTAAGAACCTGATGGTATACCTATTTGAGGTTTGGGAGTGTCTAAGAGATATTGGGATATCCTAGTTAATCAAATTATTTGATAAAATTATAATGACCAAGAAAACACCCAATCAGTGGAGGAAGAGTATTCTACTACTTATATATAAGAATAAGAGAGACATACAAAGTTGCATAAACTATCGAGATATTAAACTAATGTGTTGAAACTTTGGGAGAAAGTGATCGAGTTCAGATTCAAAACAACGGTTTCTGAGAATCAATTTAAATTTATGCCTAAGAGGTTAACAATAGAAGCTATATATCTACTTCAGAGACTAATTGAGAGGTATAAAGAGAAAACTAAGGAGCTTCATATGGTTTTTATAGACTTCAGCAAGCATATGATAGAGTTCCCAGAGATAAATGATAGAGGGTTGTAGAGAAGAAAAATGTTAGGGTATTGATGTGATTAAGTATACGTATGAAGATGTAGTGACTTTAGTGAGCATAGCGATGAGACTAATGAATTTCCAATTACTGTAGGTTTATATCAGGATTTTGCTTTGAGTCCATATTTTTTTCGGTTGATTATAGATGAACTACCAGGCACATTCTGGATGAGCTCTCATAGTGTATGTTATTTGCAGATAAAGAAAGAGTTAATAATAAATTAGAAATATGAAGAGAAACTCCAAAATCAAAAGGATTTAGTATAAGTAAGACTAAAACTAAATATATGGAATGTAAATTTAGAAAAAAAAAAAAAGGAATTCAAACCGGAAAGTAGTAAAAATTGAAGATCATAACATACCGATGAGTGAACAGTTTAAATATTTATGGTCTATTATTCATAGAATGCATGAGATTGGAGACGATGTTACTCATAGAATTAATACTGGATGGACAAAATGGAGGAATGCATCCGGTGCATGTGTGATAAACGCATACCCCTTCAGTTAAAAGGAAAGTTCTATAGAATGACCATAAGACCTACTATGTTTTATGATATTGATTGTTGGGCAATTAAGAAACAACACGTTGAAAAATTGAATGTGACGAAAATGAAAATGTTAAGATGAATGCATGATAAAACTATAAAATATAGAATTAAGAACGAATATATCCATGGAAAAGATGCAGTAGCACACATAGAAGATAAGTTAAGGGAGAATTGACTTAGGTAATTTGGACATATTTATAGATGACCCACTACAGCACTGGTGAGAAAGAGTGATATAATAGATATTGATAGTAAATGTAGGGGTAGTGGAATAGAACTCAATGGCAAAATAGTATTCCCGTAGCCAACCCCAAAAATGTTGGGACAAGGCTTTGTCTTGTTGAGTTGAGTATTTGTTGCTCTCATGCTTTCCAATCGCCACTTAATTTCCGGATAAGGCATAATTAACAAACCTTGGCATCCTCATTACAAGCCCCCCTTGAAAGTTAAAAGGGGACTTAAAAACAAAGGTGTGCTTTTGTAATTAGTGTTTCATCACCTCATGGGACTTCAACTAGGATTGCAAAATTTAAATGTAGAGTTGCAAATAAGATGGCTACATTTAGAAGTCTAGCAAAGAAAGGCAACTAGTTTGAAAAGGCTTATGATCATATGCAATTATTTGTTCCTTTATTTGTCTTCGCTGGATCATTTTGGGGAGCATCACAGGTCCAAGACTAGGAAGTAGTATGGAGTTTTGCAAGCATCTAAGACAAAACAATAACTCGAAAGCACCATCAATCCATAAACAAACACATAAATAAATAAGATGGAATACAATAAACTTCAAGAAAATTACCGCTTTTTCTCGAGCACCACCCCCAAAGAAAGCAACAGATTCAGCATGGGTACGCAATCTCTCATGCATGAACCTAATTAACTCAGGATAAGACGAGGCAACATGATGTTTACAGCAATACAGCTCCAAAGCAATATTGTCAAAAGCAGTAACTAAACATAAAGTAACCTGAAAGTTCCTTCAAGCTGTTGTTCTCGACTTGTCAGGTCACCAAAGTCAGGAGTAACATTCCTCAAGAAACCCAAACCCAATAACATATAAGCATATAATATAGCAACTCCCCTTTGACCTGTTAACAGCTTCATTCTCCAGGTGAACCTAAAAAGTTGCAGCATTTCTTTTGATTAATGATGGGGGGAAAGGAAGCAATGGAAATATGCAGAAATACTTCAAAATCCAGATCCATAATGAGCATCATTAGGAAAGAAAACACAAACACAAAATGACACAAGCTCTCACCATAAAATATCGACAGTTGGCTTTACCATTCCAGTAACCAACCCAGACAAGTCAGTGGTTAACTTCTCCAAATCCTGAGTCATTCGCTGATCTGCGTCGACATTTACATTCGACATCTGAAAGACCTATAACCCAGATGCATTCAACATTATTTTTGGCAACATCTAAGCAGTATTGCAGAGCACTGTCAAGATTTTCTGAACGACAAAATTTACATGGCAGCTCTTCTAAATAACCAAATTTCTTGCAAAACAATTTTAAAAACATTGAAGTGACTGCCAATTAACGAGGATTATAACCCAATTCTATGTTCAAACCGAGAAAAATTTTAATAATAATCCGACACTCCTGGTCATCTCTGATTACCTTGTAATATGCATTCTTTCTCAAGTAGTTCTTCAGTAAGTGCTGAGTCAAACGAATCCTCCAACCAAGAGCAAGTCTGGCTGTCAAGTGCCTGTGAAACACAAAGACAAAGTGTTAACAAACGGTACTCTGATACAGTTCTCAATACGTAACAAAAACTCAAGATAAGTAAGAAGCTTCAGCTCCAAAATTATAAACTTGTCTGCTCAAAAGATTTTGAGAAGCAATTTTTTACATTAACCAACGCAAGTAATAAGCTCATTTAAAGCACAATGTACTCATCAAAGATTTTGATAAACAGAACACTACCAACCATTGGCCACTGTATTAAGAGTTTTACAAGGAAAAATACAGATCATTGGCACAAATATCTTAGGCAAAAATAAGACTCATGATGATGCTATGAAATCAGAAATTTCAGTTGGAAGGTGCCAACAAAGAGTCGTATGCAGACACAAGCCAACATGTGAGACAATGATAGAGGTCCAAGAAGCACAATAATCCCAAGCCTAAGCCCAGATGACTTAGTCGGAAAACACTATTGAATTCTCATTTGCCAAAGGTCCTTAGTTTATTAGCTACATATGGAGTTTTTCAGGACGTATAAACTACTTGGGTGCGCGTCAACCGGCGTAGTTGGCTTGGAGAATAGAAAAAAGGTCATTAAATGGTTAGCATCTTAACATGTCAAATTCTATATTACCGCAAAGAAGGTGCAATGAAGGAAGAAGCAGCACTTTGAAGGATGCTAACACCTATCAACCGAATAAAAGCTGCCTTATCTTGCTCCAACACAAACTTCACAGTGGTACCTGAGGGAATCAATGCATTTAAGTAACAACAGCAAGATATCTCAGATTTCCAAGCACCATATAGAGTATATAAAAATATAAAAAATAAAGGAGGAAGGAGAAGACAACAAAGAAGAAGAAAGGGGAATGAAAACCATTTAAAGAGGCAATACGATCCGATATCATTGTTCTTGAGACCACGAGTACAGCAACTGCAAGGAGTTGTGCCCCCTGTTTATCAAGGACTGTGGGTACCTAAAATAGGCAGCAGGAAGAGAAAGATCAACAGAAGCAATTGGAAAAGATCATAACTATCGATGTTAGGAAAATATCCACGTGCATTCTGGGATTAATGATGGTCTGTAGGGTGCATTAGGTAGATAATGGACAATTAACATTGCAGAAGTCCTAAACTAAAAATGCAGAACTCAGGCATTAATAGTTCAACAGGAAAAAAAAAAAAAAATTCTGTACGACCTTAAAAACAATCAATGCAAACAGGTGGTTAGTGAACCAAAAATGTCATTGATAGGTAAACAACACTGGCGCCAATTATTCTGTAATTGAAGTGAAATAGACTTATGTGATTCTAATCATATACACTTGACTTGCTATTACAATTCATGGTCATCTAATTAGGAGCTAAGTAAAAACACACTGTAGTTGAAGAGCCACATGAACTTGACTCACGAGTTGCACAACAAGCTTCATCCGAACAAAAAGAAACTAAAAATCCAAGCAGTAAAAAAACCACTTGTGGCTGGTGCCATTTAAATTCAGTACTGCATAGCAATGAAGAAAGGAAATAAAAGAGAGAAAAAAGAGCTCCAATTTTAAATACTAGAAGGGAGCAAATCAAACAGAAAACTTGATCAAGAAGATTAGGGACAATAGTGCCTACAATAGTTCAGGAAAATGAAGTGCAGAACATATATATGGTAGCTAGTCATCAAATAACACCTGTGACAGGGTTTGTAAGCTAATCCAACTCACTGCAACTAATAGCAGAAATAAAGGTTTTACTATGTCATTTTGGAATTTCATAACATCATCATGGCATAAACATCTCAAACAGTTGATGCTGTTTTTGCAGATAAAGTACACTCACCAGCACTTTGAACATGGCAGCTACCCGCTGTGGCAATACTCTAGGAACACTTTGGAGTTGTGCAACGACAGGGCATGGAAAATCATCATCCCCAGCAGGAGATGCCACAATTAACTCTGAAAAATATGATTGAACCTTCGAATTTGAGAATGTAGGATCCTAGATATGTCATCACGAAAAAGGTCTGAAATGGTTAATAGGTGCAATAAAAATTAAATGACACCTAACAAGAACAAAGACGAGAACTCAAACCTTTTTAGTGCTGATAAATGCCCGTTGAACTGTTGTTGCATCACTTTGGCGGTCTGTCTCAGAAGGCTTCATGTTATTAAACTCAGCTTCAGTAAGAACTGGAGAGTCCTCCCTGGCAATTTCATGAAACAGTAATAAACAAACATGTTTTTCTCACAATGACGGGGCAAAGAAGATTTAGATTACTTCAAGATTCTAACCTCTTGTCATGAACACGCCAGCCTCCTTCACCATCCAAAGACAAGACCACATCATGGAATGCAACCAGTGCAGGACGATGAGATATTGTGATGCATGATGTTCCCATGGCTCGAACTTTAGCACAGAAGCGTTCTTCCATATCAGTTGTCACTGCACTAGTACATTCATCAAGAATAGCAAATTTGGGTCTATGGTAGAAGAGTCTGGCCATTCCCAGTCTTTGTTGCTCACCCAACGATAACTCATCACCCCAATTTATCTCTTTTTCGGGAGGATAACGATCTAAAAGATACTCCAGGTCAACCTAATAAAAAAAAATTCCACCAACAGTTTTAGTCAAAGAGATCATATATCAGTAATGAGATGACCCATACATATGTGATTTACAAAGAAAAACTAAGAAAAGAAAATGATATGAGAAAAACTCTTACATTTTTCAAGAGCTCAACCATTCCACTGTTTGTGAGAGATTCGACCTCCTGATCTGCAGTGAGAGGATAGATTAACTGGTCGCGTAGAGTTCCCACAGCCGTATATGGTCGTTGCGGCACATAGAAAATCTCCTTATTGAGATCAGAACCAATCCCAGGTTTCACAATATGGCCAGACACAAGTGGCCAAAGGCCACCTAAAACTCGGAAAAGCGAGCTTTTACCGCTACCATTAGGACCTTCATAAATAATACACCATTAGTTCTAATGGTTAATTTTCTAACGAGAGTTCAAGAAAACCCTGTTTTGACATCCATCCATACCAGTGCAAAATTTACAGCCTTGAATGAATTGTAAAGAAGAAAATGACCATCAAAGAGATTCTATGAAGAACACCTAACATCATTTATTGCTTACCCAAAAAAAAGACATTCTTTGTTTCCAAGATATCACAACACAATGTCATCAGAGCAATGTTTATCATAAGAATACTTTAAAAATTTGTGAAATTCAAGTTTTGACACAATAACACATGGGTAAGGGTACAAGCAAGGATCAAAATATCGTTACGGTCGAAACGTTTCCGTTTCCAAGGAGATCGAAACGAAACAGTGATGGAATCAAAATTCTGATATTTCGAGGTATTCCATTATGTTTTTTAATGTATTATAATATTTCAATACATTTGCACAATTATTTTAGAATGTTTTAAGGTAGTTTAAGATATTTTGATATATTTTTATCAATGTTTAGAAAAATAATTCGTAAATTTTTTATTTTTTTCATTATGTTTCCGAAACGGGTCAAAACGTTTCCGTTTCCGTTTCCTAGGTGACCGAAACGATACTTTGATCCTTGGGTACAAGTGTGCAATATGTGTCCATCAAACCTATAACAACATTCCTTGTTAACATTTTTGACATTTTAGAATGACTGTAATATTCCAATTGGAGACCCTATGTATTGTGATTGAATCGTAAACCCCAGATATAGGGGCAAGGAAAAAGAACGATGGATATAATAAGCCATAACTTCATGTAGTAATAGTTGTCATTAGATGAATCCAAACCTTAGATATACCAGGCAAGTACATGTGGTAATACAACATACAATAAGCAAAACCATTATATCTCTAGCATCTTGATAAACCAGGAAGAAGAAACTGAAGACATCCAAATCTAGATGTTTCCTCAGCATTGCGCATGGATGTTTGATAAAAGAACTATAGTAGGCGCAACAGGCCTCTTGACTTGATGCGCATTCAGCAATTCAAGCTGCCACATATCTTCATGTAATTATAAGTCTCAAAGTCTCATTACTGCAAGTAAACTGTGGTTGAGCCACCGGGAAAGATCTAAAACTGCAAGCCCCCGACCTAACTTAGCTAACTGTTCTCAGGGAGCATTCATCCTTCAAGAAGAGGAAACATAGTATACTCCATGGAAGCATGCATCTCTCCTGCAATTTGTTGACCGTCTATCTATATAATAAAACAGGAGTGTATTTGAATTTTATCCCAGTCATATTTTCTCCCTCAAAACCATCATCAATCACTTACCTCACCCATCATCCCTTTGTCAGACTCAAACGTCAAATCATATCACTCATTTCTATCACATTTAATCATTTTATATATTTCCTCCCTAAAAATATCACACCACTCATTTCTATCATATATTTAATCATTTAATAGTTAATATATTTTGAAAAAATTTAATATAGTGGGATCGATTTTTTGGACGCTTGAATTTTATATTTTATCGTGCTTTCAAGCACGGGTTATGACTAGTATTCCTATATATTACTAGAGTCAACCGATTTTGCTACTATGCAAATACATTTTCGCCCATCCTTTCATGCTCCCTAAAATGTCCTGTTGTATGAACAGTAACAATACCATGAGAGAAAAATAACCTCCACGGTGCTGAACCAAACAACAAGCAATTAAAATTTGTAATGCAACTAGGGTCCAACATGAGCGAAAACGTTATCTTTCGGCTATTGACAAATGGCAACAAGAAATTATTCTAATCCACATTAGAACTCGTCTTCTTTATCTTTTTCTTCTAATTTATTCTTCAATGGATACAAAAGTCAACAGGATCAACAAAGGGAACCATGCCAAAAAAGATCAGGGAATGAGGAAATACAAAGAAAAATAGAAAAAAAAGATAACTGCAAGATGAAAAAAGAGTACCTGTAATCAAAAGATTAGACCCAGATTCAACTCTGAGAGTCAAGTCCTCCACTAAAACATTATCAGTGGGGGTAACAACCTGGAGAATGATATAGCACATTAAAACCATACAAAACATAAATAATCCCAAACAAAGTAGACAGTACAATGATTTTCTAACCACCTTGACATGATCGAACTCGATGTAATTGGCTTCACTAACATAATTCCTATTCCCAGTTCTTTGAAATGAAGATACATCGTGGACACTTAGCTCTCTAGATATAACCATGAGTTCATGAATACGATCTGCATAACCACTGTGAATTAAAATGTTAATTTGGGTATGATAGCAGGTATCAAGAGGTGTACCTTAAGGTAACCTATGTATTTGCACATCATTCTCAAGCATCCAAAACTGTTAACAGAAAATTATACACTGCATTTTTTTAGACATAGGTAAAAGGCATCTTATAATATAGAACAACAACAGAGGCACAACCCATTTACACGCCAGGTATACGAAGCACAAACTACCCAAACTCTATGCAACCAAAAAAAACGAATCCATATACTCCAGAAAAGTCAAGGTCCCATGGGAACGTGCTCACCCTCTCTATCCAATACATTAACATTTGCTCTTCAGCTTGAGAATCAACCCTAAATACCTATAAAAATATTTGATTCTGTTCTCCCCAAGTGCACCATATAAAACAATAAGGCACAGCACACATGCCCCCCCCTTTTTTTCTAAAATCAAAAAAAAAAAAAAAAAACTCCTGCCATGGTTGTCCTGCCCCAACCTCAGCCTCAGAACCCCAATTAGGAGAGACCCCACCCCGCATACACCAATTATGCTCACATAGCGCCTAGCCCAAAAGGCAAAATTTACAAATCTAAAGATCCACGAGTGAAAATAGACTTAAATGGTACTAAGATACAAAAACACAGCAAAAGTACTAGCAATAAGAAGAAGCATATGAAGAGGAAATCCCCAGACAAAAAGCAAAATGGGTATAAAAAAGTAGAGTAAGTTACAGTTGCACCCTGAGTTACGTTAACAAGACACAACCACCCCTTTGCTTTTTTCCAACTTTTCCCATCAACAGAACAAGGTGGGGTGTTTGGGAATGGGAATAATTTGGTCAAGCTGATGTGGTTGGAATGGGAATAATCAGAGAGACCAATTTTACGTTGCCATAGTCTTTCCTATTTATCCATCTCCGAATGTGTCTATGTGGATGAGTGTGTGAATGTGTGAGAGAGAGAGGGAGAGAGGTGTGCAACTGTTGGTCCCTTTGGGTGCACAAGGATCGCGAGAGGCTTCTGATTTAGTATCACACTAATGCGGTAAGAACCTGCCAATGCTTTATCTGAAGTAGGCAGTTGCACTGCTTTATGGGCACCTACGTTGCCAAAGTCTCTCCTATTTATCCATCTCCAGAGACTTCTTTTTCAATCTCTTAATCATCATAATAATCCACCAAATCTCGTGTTTTTAAAATATCTACTGCATGCTCATACATGTTTTAGAAAGAAAAGTTCTAAGGACAAAGGAGAAATAAAGAAGCATCTTCTGTCTTCATATTTATAGATATGCCACATGACCTGCTTATAAGAGTCAATGCACATGCAAGAGCGTCGATGTACTTCAAAACATTGTAGAGTTTTCAAGAGATGATGCAATTAGGAGCATAAGAGAGAATGTAGATCAAGTAATACCTTAAACGATTAAGCCGTCTTGAACTTATCGAAAGAGTGCCCAAGGACTGAAATAGAGATATTATAACACTAGTATGATATCTTAGATTGCTCAACATCTCTGCTCGTCCTAAAGTTGAATTATCAGGTCTTAGATTGCCAGAAAAGAAGGGCTCGATGATCAGGATAACCGCAACAGTTGCTCCAAGATACTTTAATAAGAAGTCTTGAATCATGCCAAACCACCAATGGTCATGAAGAACAACACTCATGTGCCGAACAAGAGTCTTAAACTTCTGCTGAATATGAGATTCTTCTCTAGTTTCCCCACCATAAAATGCTATGCTTTCTGCATGGGTCCTTAACCGTGCGTGGAGCTGTCGGTATTCTCCTTCCAACTGTTGTTCTTTGGACATCAATTTCCCAAAAGCGGGAGAGAAGTTTCTGATTGCCGCCCCTGCTCCTATTACATAGGCCTGAAAAGTAACATTACATGTTACAATGACATATTACTAAATAAAATAAGTATTATGGTACATTTAAAAAAAAAAACCTTACTATGTGGAACTTCGAAGGTACTGTAAAGCATCTTAAAGATTTCAGTAATCAAACCAGTAAAGTTGGCAAGTTAGAACAATCAACGGACAAAGAACAAAGAATTACCAAAATCCAAAAAACATATTTTGGGCTTGCATATGAACACAGGCGCCAAGTGTAGAGCAGACCATCAGTAACAGCAGTAAGATCCTCCTGTACAAGATCACTCAACTCTGAACAGAATCTCGGTACATCACTAGCAATTCGTTGTTCTGGATTAGTTATACGGCCGTCAACATGGGAAATCTTGTAGTACACCATATTCTGAAAATCATGCAAAGAGTAAATAAACAACAAAGAAAGCACACTAAAATGCCTGGGCTAAACTACATATTTTATATTGGTGAGACACTATCTCAAGCTACACAAACTACAGCAGCAAAACAGAAATTCAGATAAGATAATACTCACATCTACTAGTAAATTTGCCCAAATGTGTTATGGACAGACGCAAATGCATCTCTGGTCACTAAATATTCAAAACAAAAAGTGAGTGCTTGCCTACAGACTAAACTTATAGATAGATGTGAAGCATTTGTGCTGAGACCAAATGAAACACTTTGCCAGATCACTGATTAGATTTGAAGAAACAAAAGATATCAAGTCATTGGTAGGGGTTTGCTTTATCGTTCATTGGGAAGGTACTTAACAGTATTTCCAACTTGTAATGAGATTAGATGTGCACAATCAGAGATACATTCTCAACTATTATAGTCAGTCAGTCAGTCACATTACTTGACTTCTTTATTAGTAGATTCCTAATCTTATAGCATTCATTCCAATACTCGTGAGTTAATCATAATATCACCTGCTAATAATTCCAGATGTTTGCAAACTTGAATACTCCAACCCATCGATGATCACTTAAGTTCATAAATGCAGTTGTCCTCCAGGAAATTGGGTTTCCAATTCAACTTCCTTTAAAGTTGTTCTGTAACAACCAGGCAGCTATCCATATCGTTGTCAATCCTGTATTTCACGAGAGAACCAAGCATATTGAGGTTGATTGTCACTTCATTCGAGACAAGATAGTAGCTGAGGAGATTACGACTCCATTTGTGAAATCTGAAAATCAGCTTGCAGATATGTTTACCAAAGCATTGAGTCATACACGTCTTACAGCTATTTGTTTCAAGCTGGGATTATATGATATATATAGTCCAGCTTGAGGGGGAGTGTTAAGAGTATTAGGGTAGTATGTGTAAATTGTTAATAGTGTTAAGGTATTATGTGTAATTCTTATTATTGTGAGTTAACTATAAATACAAGTGATGTATGAGAGCTAGGTTAAGTTTTTAACCTCTCTCTGTTTCTCTCTAATATTGTGTTAATACTCTAAACTTAACACTCCCAAAATAGACCTTTGGATACATCTCCAACTTTAGATTGAGTCAAAGGAAGGAATATGGGTTGCATGATGCCTCGACTTAGCATCCCACCCATTCCTCTGAATGTCATACTTACTCCTAAATTCTAATTATCTTATGTCAAAGGGAGTCAAGGTTCTAACAGAAACTTCCATAACCATTTTCCTACGAGAGAAATATTTGTAGACACCAAATTACCAAGTTCCAATCTCCCTTCATCTATAAGCTTATAAACAGCTTCTCAACTCACTAAATGATCTCGTTTATCATCTCATCCCAGACCAAAGAAACTCCCTCATCATCTTTTCTAAGTTCCTACCTATTGCTACAGGGATTGTAAAGAGTGACAAATAGTATAAGGGATGCTAGATGGATATGTTTTTATCAAAGTGATACTCCCTCCAAAAGAAAAATATGTACTTTTCCAGCCATCCAATCCATTGTGCATCCTTTCAACAATTGGATTCCAAAAGGACAATAATCTTGAATTTTCCCTCCAATGGTAACCCTAGGTAAACCATGGGCCACTCATGTTGAACAAACCGCCTCTAATGCCATACCTCTAACAACCTCCTCCTCCAAATTGATGCCTATAACGCCATTTTTGGACATATTAACTTCCACACCTGAAATTGTAAAAAAAATCTAATTAGAGAAAGGACGTTCTGAATCACCCATGTGGTAAAGACATCATTAGATATCAAACCTCTTATAATCAGGAAGAAATCTCACATCTTCCAAGTTACTAGAGCTTCAAAAGGCCAAATGCAAATGTTTCAACCGAAATCATGCACAATACAAACTCTTAAAGTGCTTTCATCAAATTTTTCTTCTGTTCTTCTTCTAGTATTTAGTTTTCTTTCTTACCCCTTATATGGTCATAGAAAGACAGAGTTAAAGGGAGACCTGAACCTCGCTATAGAAATCAAAAATCAAATCAAATTTTAAGTAAAATCATGATCTTTTGAATGACATTTCCAGAATCTATCGTGCTATTTGGATGTCACCACACTTGATAGCACAATACATGTAGGCCCTATAACAAATAGGGTAACAAAACACCATGGTAAAATACCCACAAAAACCCTTCCATCAAACTCAGGATGTTACCTGCTGAGACCAAAACAATTAGGCTCCACACTTAACACCTAGTAGTGTGTCAATATACGTGTATTTGCTCAAGAGGATATAGATAACAAGTTTCCCAAATTTGAGAACAGGTGATGATATGTTAAACTAACAATAAGTGACGAGGGCATTCATCACCGAATAGATATCACCACTGAGAATTTTGTTCCATGTTTGCAAACTATGGCAGTCTGAAATGACCAGAAAAATTATAATAAGACCTATGGCTGCTGCTGATGCAACACTAAGACCAAGACAAATAAGTATCTAGCTCAGTGCTATAAGCCGGGCTACTAAGGAGCAGGCGCAAGGGTGCGAATCCCATCAACCATCACATAATACTTACAAGTTTTCCTCCTTTTGTCGCCTTCGCTTGGGCAATAATTCATACTATCTCTTCATGTCAACATGGATGGTGAACATGAACAATCACATTGTGCCTTTTCATGGACCAAGTAAACTTTCTTAGGTGATGTACGCGTCTTTGAACATTTGCCTATACAGTAACTTCTAAATTCGATTACTGCATTTTAACATTATGTACTTGACATCCATGTTAAAAGTAAAAGGGGTTGCTTGGATATAAGTTGAATTAATTTTTTGGAAGGGATCTTTCTCTTAATCACCTACATTACCTCCGCTTTTAATAAGGGACGAGTTAATTACAGGCTTCTACTGTTTAACAGGCCCCAAACAGAAGTGACACCTCAATGATAGAATGCCACGGCATATGAAACTTGCATGTACCCACGATTTTACCAAGAATCAGGACATGCTAAGCATATAATCAGCCCCATCAGATGAAAATGACAGAGCATAACAATAAGTATTCATGATAAAAGAAAGGAAACTCACCTAACCTATCAAAATGAGGTAAAAATAGAATAGGGAAGTCATAGCAATCAAAAGATGTTAGACTCAGTTCGGCATGTAGAAATGGTCTCAGTAACTACCTGAAAATATTGTGTGTGGATTAGCTTTGTCAAGATTTTCCTGAACCGCAAACTTAAAGTCCCTGTTACGTACTTTGATGTAGAATGCAAGGTTGACTGAAGGAAACACAGTAAAATGTTTTCAAAAATCAAACGAAGAAAGGCTGGTACACGTCGAAGAAAAGCAGCACGGAATAAGAATCCTTGCACTTTCGCTAATCTATTGCTCACTGCAGTTCGAAACACCTGCAGCAAGTACATAAAACAGACATCAATGTAAAGGTGCAACAAGTATCCTCATCCAGGATTCTAATTGAAACTTGGATAATTGGAATACAAGTAAAAGTACTGACAGTTTCTCCAATAATAGAAACTGACAAAAATTGTATAAATCCAGAAGTCAAGACTCTTCCTGTCACATTCAAACTAAACAGAAAATAAAACAGATTTGTACAAGAACCCTTTAAGCACACAGAGGTGAACAACCGAAAATGCTAATTAAATACTTATACTAGTTAAAGACAGTAAGATGGATTCTTTTGTACTATTCTATTCTTCAGGCTAATTCTGTACCTGTCGACTGTTATGAAATTATATCAATGCATTACTCACCAAATATAGGCATCGATTGCATGATAAACAAGAATATATAAACCTTTTTCTGACACAAAAAGTAGAACGACATTGAAGATTTTATCGACCAACTCTAATAAAGCTTAGCTTGACAGAAAGGATGCAACTGTCATCAATAAGCCCCATCAAGTGTGGCCAGACTTCTTACCATGAGTGAGCTAAACATGTTCAGGAAAACAATGATTTGGAATACGCGGTCTTCCTCTCACAATGGCGAAAATAAAATTTTTGTTTGAAACGTCAGCCAGGAAACAAAAATTGCTAACATTTTATGATAGGAAGACAAAGAGAACGGTGAAAAAGTTTTAAAACATACACTAAATCTGTCTATATGTATGAATTGCCCAATAAGGATTATACGTCCCTCTATAGATTCTAGACTAAAGAACACTCATGTAGATTCAGGAAGCATTTAACTATGATCAAATAACAACTCATTGTAATCAAATACACATGTGCGTAGGAGACTAAAGGTCATCAAGATCCCTCTTAAACAACATCTAAAATTATATCACAAAAGATAATCAGAGTTAAGTGTTGAGGAAATCCAGGAGGGGGGAGAAGATCCTCTAAACAATAAAAGGTCAAAAGGGTATTTCGATACATAATCATTTACAAAATGTCCCTCCAAGAAGAGAACAAGGTATACTACCAAACAAACTCAAATGTTTATGGGCTTTGACACCATGCAAAATAGATTGTGGAGGGAAAAGGGGGCCTGGGGTGCGGGGGGGGGGGGGGAAGAGTCATCACCCAGCTTTGTTTTCATTAATCAAA